CCTGTGCATTAGTCATTCAGTTATCACATTGTTTCATAGGTACCTCTTCTCCAGACAAAATATGTCCTTTTCCTTCAACAGCTCCTAATAGGAGCTATTGCTTTTCTCTGGACACCCTCTATTTCGTCAGCATCTTTCTTAAGGAGTGGTACTCTGAATTAGACACCCAGGCTCCCAGTATGGTCTGGTGGATGTGTAGTGCTCAGAGACTGTGGCCTCAGAAGACTTGAAGGTTGAATTACTAGGAGTGCAACCTGGGCTCATCATAGCTATTTTGATTTCTCATGGCAATATTCATTTCTATAGTCCTTAAAATCACAAGGCCTTCTTTCTATGAACTGTGATCAAGTCAGATCTCTCCCATACTGTACTCAAACATTTGAAACATTTAAATGCTGACCTTTAATGCATTCCTATTAAATTTTACTTCATCATCTGGAATATTATTGAATACCTTCAGATCTTCTTTATCTTGCTTCTGTCATCTCTAAGGTTGTCTTTCCCAGTTTTGCATTATTAATAGGTTAGATAATCATGTGCTGTATTAGTTTGTTTTCACAGTGCTGATAAAGATATACCCAAAACCAGGAAGAAAAAGAGGTTTAATGAACTTATAGTTCCCCCTGGCTGGGGAAGCCTCACAATCATGGTGGAAGGCAAAGAGGAGCAAGTCACGTCTTACATGGATGGTGGCAAGCAATGAGAGAGAGCTTGTGCATGGGGAAATCCTCTTTTTAAAACCATCAGCTCTTGTGAGACTTATTTACTATCATGAAAACAGCACGGGAAAGACTTGCCCCCATGATTCAATTACCGCCCACAGGGTCCCTCCCACAACACATGGGAATTCAAAATGATATTTGGGTGGGGACATGGCCAAATCATATTGTGTGCTCTATGCTACCAATAAAAAGGTTAAACTGAACAAGTTCAAAGACAAAACTCAGTAATACTTTATTCAGACAGGTTAGTCTCAATCTGTTAACCTTACACTTGTAACTCTGATCATTCATTCATTCCACAAATTTTAATAAATGCCTTATTTTAAGCTAAATGCTGAGATGAAAAAATGAAACCATATGCGTTAGCAAAGTAGGAAAGATAGGCATATTAACAGGTAAATGCAGAATGATAAATGCTCCATCAATATGCACTTGTTGTAGTGAGGCCACAGAGAAGGGTGCAATCCACTCAACCTGGCAGGAACAGGTAGGACTTCAGATGTCATCCAACTCAAAGATATAGTGAGGGACTTGATCAAACATTTGCCAAGACCACTATGAGTTAAGTGAATAGATTAGGCATTTCTCCAATGTTGCAAGCTTAGAATCATATCCAAACTCAGAACCGAAGTAATTCAACATAGCTTGGTCATAATGATCCCAGGGATCCTATTGGCCATTTGTCTTTGAGCCTCAAAGGAACATATTAAAACTCCACAACGCCCTTTTGATCTATTCTAAAGTTAAATAGTGAACTTACCTGATGATGACACAAACACTGTAAAGGACCTCTGGGTTACTTGTTTACAAGCTAATATTTCCTGAATCAATTTTTCTGATCCCTAGATATTTGGTAGGTGAAGTCCTATATCCCCACACCCTAGAACAGCATCTCCCACTTATTTTTCCCTCCTTGTCTTTTAGTGGGAGCCACATCAGTATCCAAGAGGAGGTCCAGAAGCCTCTCCAACCAGGTAGGGACAGTTATAGATTCCAGACCTCAGCTATGGCCTTTGTTACAGAGTACAAAAGTTATATAGTACAAGTTTATTGTACACATCTCAGGGAGCCTCTGAGCTTTAGAATTTTCTTGTAGAATTTAACAGTTTTTTCATGCCATATTTACCTATTATTGCTAGTATTTAGAATTTCCTTTTCCAAATGTGTAATATTTATTATTGCATTTTTTTTTTGCATCCACTAAGTGGAAAATCATGCATTAGATATTGTAGAAGTAGATACAACAATGAACAAGAACTGGTCCTGGCCATGAGAGGAACTGATGATCCAATGGGGGAGGTAGACCAGCACGTGTTTAATATAAGGAAGTGGCTATTCCGGTTTCTTTTCGGTGGGCAAGCATTTTGCAAGGTCTTGGGCTATGTGTGTGCAAGGCTAAGCCAGTTAGTTAATTGGGATTTTTTTAAAAAGGCACTTCACTGCGGGAAAAGGCACATAAACTTGGTTATTGTCCCCTTCCCTATAATAAAAGCATATTATCTTTAATGTTTTAACTGGGTTTGTGGTTAAATCTCACAGCCCAAGAGATTTGCCACTTGATTCCATACACTTGCATGTAAGTCTGCAAAAAAAGTTCCAATTATCCAGCAATTTAACCAAAGTATTGATAACTTTTCTAAAACAAAAGAAAAACATTATTTCCCTTGTTTTGGCAGCAATTTCAGTCATATTCCTTTACTTTCTACTCAAGAAAATAGTTTCAAAAAGTTGACGTTTGTTGCCAAAAGAACTATTTCCATGAACAAATATAAAACTAAGAAGTTATGGTGTCTCCTTTTTAAAAAATGACTCATCAAATGAAATCACTTTTTCCTTTCTCTTGTAAGAGAAAAAAAATAATCTCTTTTAGAATTGCAAACATATTTCCTTGATGGAGAAAATCAGTTCACATGACATAGTGGTTATGTATCCAGTTCAAAAAACAGAGTAGAATTTACTACTCTGTCTTCTTTTTTGCTCACCCCACCCTCTTTCTTTAACCACATTGGATTCAGAAAGTTTCATTCCGTAATCAGCATTGTCCTTTATCTTTCCAGTAAAGATAGCCTTTTGGAGTCGAAGATGAGGAAAAGCCTGTATTTTATAGTTTTGGAAGTGTCTTCTTTTGCCAGGACAGAGAGAGGAGCTTCAGCAGTGAGAGCAACTGAAGGGGTTAATACTGGAACTTGGCTGGGTGTCTGTTAAACTTTTTTCCCTGGCTCTGCCCTGGGTTTCCCCTTGAAGGGATTTCCCTCCGCCTCTGCAACAAGACCCTTTATAAAGCACAGACTTTCTATTTCACTCCGCAGCATCGGGCCTCACTGGCTTCAGGAGCTGAATACCCTTTCCAGGCACATACACGTGGGACACAAATTAGGGTTTTGGAACCACTATTTTCTCATCACAACAGCAACTTAAAATGCCTGGGAAGATGGTCGTGATCTTTGGAGCCTCAAATATACTTTGGATAATGTTTGCAGCTTGTAAGTTATTTTCCTTTATCTGTTTCAAATGTTAGCATTCCGTTTTAGCCCTGGTTTTGGCTTCAGTCAGTTTTGCGATAGTAGTGAAGTAGTGAAGTAAAGACACTGTGATTTTAAACAGTAGGAAAAGTTAATTTAACCTAACTTTTAATATGCAATTGAGTTTTGCTATATAATATTGTACTGTCATAGTTAGAGCTGAAAATTGATGTTTTTGGTATCTTTTTTTCCAAAGGCTAGTGAGTAATTCGGCTTCTGTCTCTAGTTGGTCTGTCTCCTTAGTTTCCTATACTTGACAATGAGGTCAAACTTAGCAAATAAAACGGCTTTGATAAATGGGCATCAAGGTTGGAACTGAGGATTCTCTTTAGTGAAGATGATTCCATAAACTTTTTTGAAAGTGACTTCGGTGCTTTTCGGCTACCTTGTAGTTAGTTTGAAGCGGCTTAGGAAAGAGATCAGTCTGATCCTATTTTAGACATTATACCTGTCTCTTATACACATCTAGATGTGTATAAGAGACAGGTAAAGGACCTCTGGGTTACTTGTTTACAAGCTAATATTTCCTGAATCAATTTTTCTGATCCCTAGATATTTGGTAGGTGAAGTCCTATATCCCCACACCCTAGAACAGCATCTCCCACTTATTTTTCCCTCCTTGTCTTTTAGTGGGAGCCACATCAGTATCCAAGAGGAGGTCCAGAAGCCTCTCCAACCAGGTAGGGACAGTTATAGATTCCAGACCTCAGCTATGGCCTTTGTTACAGAGTACAAAAGTTATATAGTACAAGTTTATTGTACACATCTCAGGGAGACTCTGAGCTTTAGAATTTTCTTGTAGAATTTAACAGTTTTTTCATGCCATATTTACCTATTATTGCTAGTATTTAGAATTTCCTTTTCCAAATGTGTAATATTTATTATTGCATTTTTTTTTTGCATCCACTAAGTGGAAAATCATGCATTAGATATTGTAGAAGTAGATACAACAATGAACAAGAACTGGTCCTGGCCATGAGAGGAACTGATGATCCAATGGGGGAGGTAGACCAGCACGTGTTTAATATAAGGAAGTGGCTATTCCGGTTTCTTTTCGGTGGGCAAGCATTTTGCAAGGTCTTGGGCTATGTGTGTGCAAGGCTAAGCCAGTTAGTTAATTGGGATTTTTTTAAAAAGGCACTTCACTGCGGGAAAAGGCACATAAACTTGGTTATTGTCCCCTTCCCTATAATAAAAGCATATTATCTTTAATGTTTTAACTGGGTTTGTGGTTAAATCTCACAGCCCAAGAGATTTGCCACTTGATTCCATACACTTGCATGTAAGTCTGCAAAAAAAGTTCCAATTATCCAGCAATTTAACCAAAGTATTGATAACTTTTCTAAAACAAAAGAAAAACATTATTTCCCTTGTTTTGGCAGCAATTTCAGTCATATTCCTTTACTTTCTACTCAAGAAAATAGTTTCAAAAAGTTGACGTTTGTTGCCAAAAGAACTATTTCCATGAACAAATATAAAACTAAGAAGTTATGGTGTCTCCTTTTTAAAAAATGACTCATCAAATGAAATCACTTTTTCCTTTCTCTTGTAAGAGAAAAAAAATAATCTCTTTTAGAATTGCAAACATATTTCCTTGATGGAGAAAATCAGTTCACATGACATAGTGGTTATGTATCCAGTTCAAAAAACAGAGTAGAATTTACTACTCTGTCTTCTTTTTTGCTCACCCCACCCTCTTTCTTTAACCACATTGGATTCAGAAAGTTTCATTCCGTAATCAGCATTGTCCTTTATCTTTCCAGTAAAGATAGCCTTTTGGAGTCGAAGATGAGGAAAAGCCTGTATTTTATAGTTTTGGAAGTGTCTTCTTTTGCCAGGACAGAGAGAGGAGCTTCAGCAGTGAGAGCAACTGAAGGGGTTAATACTGGAACTTGGCTGGGTGTCTGTTAAACTTTTTTCCCTGGCTCTGCCCTGGGTTTCCCCTTGAAGGGATTTCCCTCCGCCTCTGCAACAAGACCCTTTATAAAGCACAGACTTTCTATTTCACTCCGCAGCATCGGGCCTCACTGGCTTCAGGAGCTGAATACCCTTTCCAGGCACATACACGTGGGACACAAATTAGGGTTTTGGAACCACTATTTTCTCATCACAACAGCAACTTAAAATGCCTGGGAAGATGGTCGTGATCTTTGGAGCCTCAAATATACTTTGGATAATGTTTGCAGCTTGTAAGTTATTTTCCTTTATCTGTTTCAAATGTTAGCATTCCGTTTTAGCCCTGGTTTTGGCTTCAGTCAGTTTTGCGATAGTAGTGAAGTAGTGAAGTAAAGACACTGTGATTTTAAACAGTAGGAAAAGTTAATTTAACCTAACTTTTAATATGCAATTGAGTTTTGCTATATAATATTGTACTGTCATAGTTAGAGCTGAAAATTGATGTTTTTGGTATCTTTTTTTCCAAAGGCTAGTGAGTAATTCGGCTTCTGTCTCTAGTTGGTCTGTCTCCTTAGTTTCCTATACTTGACAATGAGGTCAAACTTAGCAAATAAAACGGCTTTGATAAATGGGCATCAAGGTTGGAACTGAGGATTCTCTTTAGTGAAGATGATTCCATAAACTTTTTTGAAAGTGACTTCGGTGCTTTTCGGCTACCTTGTAGTTAGTTTGAAGCGGCTTAGGAAAGAGATCAGTCTGATCCTATTTTAGACATTATACACAGAAGAAGGAGTAGAATACTAGACAAATTAGTGGTAAATTTGCTTCTGTCTTTTTTTTTGCTTTTGCAGCTCAAGCTTTTAAGATCGAGACCACCCCAGAATCTAAATCTCTCGCTCAGATTGGTGACTCCGTCTCACTGACTTGCAGCACCACAGGCTGCGAGTCCCCATCTTTCTCTTGGAGAACCCAGATAGACAGTCCGCTGAATGGGAAGGTGAGGAATGAGGGGACCACGTCTACGCTGACCATGAATCCTGTTAGTTTCGGAAACGAACACTCTTACCTGTGCACAGCAACTTGTGGATCTAGGAAATTGGAAAAAGGAATCCAGGTGGAGATCTACTGTGAGTGCTTTAGAAAATCTTCGTTTTTCTCTCAATTTCACTTTAAAATCGCCTTTTAAAAATGATATTTAAAAAAAGTTTTAAAATGGATATTCCTGTACAGATTCTTGGCTGAAGAACACACAACATCAGGAAAGCTAGGGACAGCTAAGGCCAGCGTGAGAGAGAGCAGGAATCCAAATCTTGGCTTCTATTTCCTCCTCTGCCGCAAACACAGTGACCATGTATAAGACTCAATCTCTCTGGGCTCCGGTTTCCTTAGCTGTAAAATATCATTTCTAAGGTTCTTTTTGTTTTATTAAAAAAATCTTTCCACTTGATTACATCCTTACATGTTTACTTGCTTACGTCTCTGATTGATTTATGAATTCCATCCTTCAGGGATTTTCTATTCATTTATTCTTACGCAATTTGATGCTTAAAATTAGTTTAAACACTAAGTAGATCTATAATTAGTAATAGGTATTAGTATAAAAGTGTTCTCCTTAGACATAATTGTTAATATCTGCAAACATTTCACTCATTTGACTTTGGTATTGTTGACACATTTAGGATTTTTTTTTTTTTTTTTTTGGTGCCATGAAGCCTTGCTGCTCAACCGCTCAACTTCAAAGATATTTATATAATGCATTGATGCTTAAAATTAGTTTAAACACTAAGTAGATCTATAATTAGTAATAGGTATTAGTATAAAAGTGTTCTCCTTAGACATAATTGTTAATATCTGCAAACATTTCACTCATTTGACTTTGGTATTGTTGACACATTTAGGATTTTTTTTTTTTTTTTTTGGTGCCATGAAGCCTTGCTGCTCAACCGCTCAACTTCAAAGATATTTATATAATGCATTAGATTTGCCTCATGAACGTGAGTGGATGTCCCTAGTTTACCAGCCTGCCAAAATGCATCCCACTCCATTCTCCATTCAGCAAACAAAGTTAGCAAGAGGAGTAAAAAACTAACCAGACATAAATCATTTGCCTTTTGTTACCGATGGCCTCTCTTTCTAAAAAACTGAACCCATTTATGGTCGTGTCTTCACGAAGACCTCATTTGATTATAATTACTTTGGTTCTGTTCTGTTGTACCAGAGCCCAACTTTTCCCAGCAACCTTAATTGATTCTGCAACAAGCCCCATGTGTTGCTCAAGCTTCCCAAGAAACTGTGCTTGGCCGGCTGCTTTCAATTATGCTGGTTGTACATGCATAGTTTATGTCTGTGCAGCCTCCTGAGCTCCTTAAAAGCTTCCCTTATGTAAATACAGGGAAAAGTAGCAAGTTCTTATGTTACCTGACATCAGACTGTGTGGATTAGAGGAACATTTCTTACAGAATATGAGGGACAGAAATTATTGCTGGAAAAAATGAAAAATACCATGTTTCTTCACATAGCAAAGAATTTCCAGCTCCTTTGTCTTTTGCCCACTAGTACCAAATAGTTGAAGATTTAAAAAAGAGAAATGAAGACGCTTCTGGCTTTAATTATCTTGCCTGAGGTTTTTCTCCAAGAGTGTCTGTTTTTCATTATGTATAACAGTTCTGTCTCCTTTCCACATTTGATTGTAATAGTGCTTAGAGTTGAGACCTTTGTACTCTTTTTGTTACACAGAGTTCTGAATTCACCAATATGTTACTTCATGACAATGTGTAATGAAAAAGGTAACTCTTGCAAAGGAGGCAATGGCTACGAGAAGTAGTACATTTCCTTGTACTAGAAGCTTCAATGGAACACTTGGTGGGATACTGAGTTAGGCATTTCAGGAGGCAAATATGTGTTCCAGAACATAAAGATTGCACAAATGTATCTTTCTGGTGGATGAATTCCTATCAGAGGCACCGTTTTCAGAAGCTAATTACTTAAAGTTGGTCTTTTCATGTCTTAGAATATCTTGACAATAACTATTCTTTGCAATGACATTCCAAGCCTTAAAGTCACTATCTGTAAAATGGAAATATATCTGCCCTGACTATAAGAAAATGTGATGTAACATAATGTAAATCTGTAGTAGCAAAACCGAGTAATAGAAATCCTGAATTTAAATCCCAGCTTTACCATTTACTAGGTGTGTGACCTTAGACAAGTTATGTAAATGTACTAAGTCCAAGTCTTCTTTTCTGTAAAATGTGATCTGTATCTCCTAGAGTTGTTGTGAGGATAAAATAAAATAATTCATGTTAAATCTATAGCGCAGTGACAGCCACATGTAAGGTTCAATATAAACATTTTTTCTTCCTTCTTCCTCTACTGTAATAACATGCAACCCTTAATATATACAGGATCAGAATAGAATAATGTTCTAAAAAGTGTTTGCTTCCAATTCTTGCACCTTGAACTCACCCCAAATCATGACAGGCTATTTAAACAATTCTTCTGTATTAAGACTGTATTAACAAAAACACTAGGCTTGATTTGTATTGTGTTAAAGCAGTAAGAGACCTTATATCCCATGAGCAAAAAGCCCATCCATGTATTTGTTTGACCTTTACAGCTTTTCCTAGGGATCCAGAGATTCATCTGAGTGGTCCTCTGGAGGCTGGGAAGCCAATCACAGTCAAGTGTTTGGTTGCTGATGTATACCCATTTGACAGGCTGGAGATAGACTTAATGAAAGGAGATCATCTCATGAAGAGTCAGGAATTTCTGGAGGATGCAGACAGGAAGTCCCTGGAAACCAAGAGTTTGGAAGTAACCTTTACTCCTGTCATTGAAGATATTGGGAAAGTTCTTGTTTGCCGAGCTAAATTACACATTGATGAAATGGATTCTGTGCCCACAGAAAGGGAGGCTGTAGAAGAATTGCAAGTCTACAGTAAGTACTTGTGCGATGTGTTCCAGTCTTTGTGGGAATCCCACCTTGGTTGTGTATAGCAATAAACTTAGCAGCAAAGTAAAAAAAAAAAAAAAAAAACTTGTATATAGTTTGTATTCCATTTGTATTCATTGAGAACATAATGTTTGCCAATAGTACAATTCAATGAAAAGAACACTGGATTTGGGTGGAGAAGACTTGAGCTTAATTTCTGTCTCTATTAACTGTGTAAGTTTGGGTTACTTAATTTCTCTATTTCCCAGGGTATAAAAGGGGAATAGTCATACCACCAGATTGGGTAGTGAGAAACAGGTTCAAATAATAAAACACTTTAATATTGTTTTGTAAACTCTTATAGTATGCCTTGAAATATTAGTTGCACAGGTACAGAAACTTGACAAGGTGAGCAGTTATTCTCTCTGTGTGTGTATGTGTGTGTGTATGCATATGCACATACATACATATGTGCATTGGACAGGGGAAAAATGATGGGGTTTGATTGCCTCCAATCTGCCTGATACTGCCAGGGGATTTACGGGAGTCTTGTAGTCCCAGCGTTGTGTAGGAGTGGGCGCACTGTGCTCGGTTCTAGTCTAAAATGCTATGTTTTGCACTGGGCACTACATTTAAAAGGAGTATTGCCAACTATGGCATGTTTAGCTGAAAGAGAATGAGCTGGGCAGGCTTTTAATAATATTTTGAGAAGAATAGTCAAGATAGAGGATATTTTTCCTAAGAGAATACAAAACCTGGAAAAGAGAGCTCTAATTAAGCATTTGAAAGACAGTTATATGAAAGAGTGATTTACCTTTTTCTGTAACAGCACATGGCTGAATTATGGCCAATATGTTTAAATTAGTATAGAGAGAAGATTTCAGCTCAATAGGGAGAAATGTGATAATACGTAGAGCTGTCCAAAAATCAAATTGACTCTTTTGGAAAGCAATGGGTGGATTCTCTCAGTAAATGTTGAAGTTGACTTGAATGGGCACTTGGCAAGAATGCTTAAATGGGACTCCTACCCTTTAGTGGGAGGTTAAGCCACATGGTTCTTCTTAATTTCTGACTACCTATAACCATCTGAAAAACATGAAACATCAACTAAACTCGATCAGTTTAGTCAGAAACTGGATAGATTATTTTGAATGATTCAGCAGTTCTTTATACTAATTTGGCAGAGTAATTTCATCAAATTGGTGGAAGCACATAAATACTGTCTAAGAGAAATACATTCCCTCTGTTGCACTGGGATGATGCTTAGCAATTGCTAATATTATTTTTTTTGCCTTTTCAGTATCACCCAAGAATACAGTTATTACTGTGAATCCATCCATAAGGCTACAAGAAGGTGGCTCTGTGACCATGACCTGTTCCAGTGAGGGTCTACCACCTCCAGAGATTTTCTGGAGTAAGAAATTAGATAATGGGAATCTACAGCACCTTTCTGGGAATGCAACTCTCACCTTAATTGCTATGAGGATGGAAGATTCTGGAATTTATGTGTGTGAAGGAGTTAATTTGATTGGGAAAAACAGAAAAGAGGTGGAATTAATTGTTCAAGGTGAGTAGAATGTGAAAAAGGAATGACAAAGGTGCTGTCACTGGGATTTGAGCAATAGTCACACAGCTTCAATGCTGAAATTGCTTCCCTTAGTTTCACTGATGACCTATCTGGTTGCCATAGCCTTTAGCACAAATATATGTTTATCTTACTAGTACTTCTTGGAAGTCTTCCCTCCCAGAGTTTCCATGGCTCTGCTTTTCTGATTCTTTTTCATCTCAAATCACTTTTTCTCTGCTTCATTCCCTCACTTTTTGTCTTCCTCCTGCCTCTGGGATACTGGTATTTTCAAGTTTACATTCCTGGGTCCCCTTCTCTTCTCATGCTAGACTCCCAAGAATTGGACTACAATATGTTGATTACTCCCAAATTCATGTTCCAATTCCATGCTGTTAATTGCTGTCAGTTCTACCTCAAAATGCTCCCCAGAATATGACCTCTTCTTCACCCCACTTGCCATTGCCTTAGTTTATCATCTCTCACTTGGGCTCTTGCAAGATATTCTTACGTAACAGCATTCACTAAACACCAGATATGTTTCTGGTACTTTACATATGCCGTCTTCAAGAAATAACTAAAAAGTAAGTATTTTGTATTCCTTTTACAGATGAGAGAGTGGAATCTCCCAGAGATTAATAATGACGCCACCTATTGATTGTACACCTAATGTTTCCCAGGAATTCTACATTCTGCTGTATATATTTTATCTCATTAATCTTTACCACAACACTACTAAAAACCCAGGTTCAGGATAGTTCATACTTTTCCTAGGGCTAAATAGCTCTTTAGTTGCATTTACTATGATTTTAATACAGGTTCATTTTAATGAAAACCCCTTTGCCTTTTTAATTTTATAGCTAATTATCTTTATATTTCTCTTTAGAAATATTTTTAATTGATAAATCATGATTGCTTACATTTACAGATTACAATGTGATGTTTGATATGGGTATACAATGTAGAATGATTAAGTCAACATATTCATTGCCTCACTTATTCTTTTGTGGTGATACATTTGAAATTCACTTTCTTAGGTATTTTAAAATACACAATATATTATCATTAACTATAGTCATCATGATGTACAACAGATCTCAACAACTTACTCTCCTGTCTAACTGAACCTTTGTACCCATTGACCAACATCTCCTCGTTCCCTTCCACTCCTTGCCCCAGCCCCTGCTTATGCTGTTCCTTTTGCCTAAAATGGCCTTTCTCCTTCCTTCATCTGGCAAAGTCTTAGCCATTCTCCAATATGAAGCTCATGTCAGCCTCCCAGTTCCAGATTGTGTCAGACCAAACTACATATTCTTTCCTTCGTGTACACTCAACACTCCTTATAGTCGTGTATGCAGTTTTGTTCAGTTCCACACCTATTAAGAGCCCTTGTCCAAGAATCCAAGAATTCTACTTGGTAATGGGAGTACAGACATGAAAAAGATATGACAACTGCCCTAGGGGATCATACAAACTAGGAAGGAAGGACAGGCATATAAATAGATAACTCAAATATTCCTTAGTAAGAGCCAAAACAGTATATCTTTTTAAATGTGCCTTTCCACTAAACTGTAAATTCCTGCCTGCTCTGGGCATGATGGTTCAAGCCTATAATCCCAGCACTTTGGGTAGATTAGGTGGAAGGATTGCTTGAGGCCAGGAGTACAAGACCAGCCTGGGCAACATAGTGAGACCTCTGTTTCTATTTAATTTTTTTTAAAAATCTGTAAACTCCTTAAAGTCAAGAATTCTGTGTGTGTGTGTGTGTGTGTGTGTGTGAATGCTTGGATTCTTAGCACAGTACCTAACACATAATAAATGTTCAGTAAATGTTTGCTGAATTAATGAATAGATTATAAACATGGGTAGCATAGTCTTTTGTTTGTTTGTTTTAGGAGATGAGGTCTTGCTATGTTGCCCAGGCTGAACTCAACTCCTGGGCTCAACTGATGCTCCCACTGTAGCTGCCTGAGTAGCTGGGATTATAGGCACGTGCCACCCAGCTGTAGTGACACCCAGCTCAACACAAATTTTTAAAATGTGAAAACATGGTATTTAAACTTGGATGATTAAAATAAAAATAAAACTCACCATAAGTAGATTATCTCAGCTGGATGTTAGGTTAGCATTCTCAAGTGACCAGGAAAGATGTTATACTAATAAAAGTATGTAAAGCTAATTATTCACCCTGGAATAATGCCACTCCATAATAAACTGTATCCTATTTCAGTGTACAAAGGATATGTATTTTGGGGTTAGGGAGAGTTGTTTTGCACTTTGCATCACATGGGATACTACTGGCCTAAAGTACTGAAAGTACTTTCAAAGAAACTTTCAGCTACCTAAAAGAGTTACTCCTCCAGTGGTTCCAAGTTCACCTAGCAATACATGTGGCCGCTGTAAAGAATGACTTAGAAATGTTCGCACACAGGCAGTGGATCTGTTTTTAAAGTTCCTCATTCTCACATTAGCCTATAAGAAATTCGGAAGCTCTGGTTGTTTTTGTGAATGAGCTCTCTTTCTAAGTCTAATAGCATATCAGTTTATTGAGGTAATTTGAGGAGAATCTTCTTCAGAAAATACTAAGATGTCACAATTAGAGAAACCTATTAAGAAAAATAACTGATGACACAGATGAGAACCATGCAAAATGTAATATGTTTGGATTATTTGTATATTGAGATTTCTTTCTTTTACCTCAAGCCTGTAATTTACAAGTAAGATTTCAGTGACTTTTATGGGGGTCTCATCTGTTGCTTTCAGAGTTGCCCAGACACTCTCAGTTTCTTCAGGGAAACAGAGCCAAGATGTAGTGTTCCCTTTCTTCCTAAATAGCAGTCATCCAAAAGAAGCCCATGTACTCAGCAGGGACAGTGCTGATGGCCAAAGGACATTCCTGGATATTTGAGTCTTAGGAGTTTGCCCTCACACCTCAGCTTTCAGACCCTGAGTTAATTGTAAAGTATTTTTATATTGCATCAGGCAAATTTTGGAGGCGACTTATGTATCACTTTAATGCTTAGATTTTGACTTTGATTTCAGGGTGATTCTATGTGACTTTCAATGGTATAACTGTATTATTGAAACAGAAGCTCTAAATGCTTGTCCACTGTGGGTATTATATCTAATTAAGAGACATTTTTTGTAGCTTTTTCCAGTACCCCTTTTAGATCATTTTATCTCCATATGAGGATGACTTGATTTAGTTGTTGTAGCAACTGAAAAACTGGGATCTTGAATCAGACCCACCTGGCATCAAGTCCTAATTTTGTTACTTGCAAACTGGGCAAAGTTATTTAGCATTTCTGAGCCTAAATTTCCTCAAGAAGAAAAAAGAGGGGTAAAAAGAGGAAGAGAAAGAGTAGACGCAGAAAGAGAAGGCAAAGAAGAAAGAATAGTACTAGTGTACGAAATTGTTGATTTTTTTAATATATATATATAAAATTACTATATATATTACTATTATATATATATTATATATATACTATTATATATATATTACTATATATATAGTAATTTAGATAGTGCTTGACACACAAGAACCACTTACATTCTTTGAGTGATTGTCCACTCTTACAGTGATTTGATAAACTACATTTGAGCAGAGACTCTATTATTGCTATGAAGAGATACCTCTCTTGACAAATTTTTATCCATTCAGTTTGTTAAATGAATGAATCAGCAAACTATAATGGTTTCATTCTAAAAGATGTGGTCTCATTTCTGATAGTCCCAAGGTGGAAAAGAGTAATTTCTTCTTGGCATAGATATTAACTGAAAGGAGATCCAGAAAAATAAAGATCATATGTCAGAATGTGATGAAAGAAGAAAATAATCTTACGTTCTTTTCATCTTGCTTTCCACTTCTGTCCCAGAGAAACCATTTACTGTTGAGATCTCACCTGGACCCCGGATTGCTGCTCAGATCGGAGACTCAGTTGTGTTGACATGTAGTGTTATGGGCTGTGAGTCCCCATCTTTCTCCTGGAGAACCCAGATAGACAGCCCTCTGAGCGGGAAGGTGAGGAGTGAGGGGACCAATTCCACGCTGACCCTGAGCCCTGTGAGTTTTGAGAACGAACACTCTTATCTGTGCACAGTGACTTGTGGACGTAAGAAACTGGAAAAGGGAATCCAGGTGGAGCTCTACTGTAAGTGGTTTTCAGAATTGTTTATTTTTATTTTTATTTTTTCCAGTTCTATTGGAAGAAAAACAATGCATGTCTGTGATTTGCAATGAGATTCTTATGTTTAGAAAAGGAATTTAGCATTGTGAATTTTGTTCCTAAATCTGAATCAGAATGGTTTGATACAACATTATTAGCCTAAATCTCAAGTCCGTATTACATATGTACACAGCACCCACAATCCTCGGTTTATGCCTTGTCAAACTCTCTCATCATGCACTTGAACACACTACATGCTGGAGGTGAGTGCACTGGGGTCAGTGTCCATTCAGATGACTGGGTGGAGGTGACTACTCCAGCTACTCCAGTTGGGAATGAGTAGTTTTAAACTATTTTAAGGCACTGCTTTAAAGCACATTTGAAGAGCTGTCTGCAGGATGGGAAAAAAATAAGGGAATAGGAAGCAAAAGGAAGCCAAAATTAAAGATAAGGAATTAGGTTGGAGATGGGGATGGTCAGTGGCAGTGGCTAAGGTGAAAAGCAGAATCAGGAAGTAGCGTTAGATCTTAATGTTGATTTATGCCACCTACATATACTATGCTTTCTCTTACTCTTCTTGTCGTCTTAATAAACACTCTTTGCAACCTCAAATCTCCATGAACTTGACATTGCTGGAGTTCCTCAGTCCATATTGAATGAAGAACAAAATATGCAAAGTAACCATAAAGTTATTTTTTTGAGAGGGTCACTCTGCCTTGAGTTCTCACTTCAGTAGAACTCAAGAGAACATATTGTAGAGATTTTCTACCAGAAAGCCTGCCCAAACTTGTGTTACCCTTCAAGATTTTGTTCAGAATGGGTCACAGTGTGCCTGTAAATGGATTTGAGTCTCTCAAAAGGAGGATATATTTTATTTGCATTATTATATTACCCAGAGTCCATGATCTGCTGAGATAGGCACATTCCCAGCAGAAATGAGAACCAGCAGTGGAGTCTTATTGCAACATAGAAATATTTGAGCATGTATCACTTTAACAACATTTTTGTTAAGGAAAAATATGTTTAAGCATTATTCTTGCCCTTGATAGCTATTTTAGTCTTATTTTTATTGATTTGTGCTGTATTAGAAAGACTAGAGTTAAGCAGTTCTTTTCTTGATTACAAGTATTATCTGAGAAATATTTAAAACTTGCTGCCTAAATTTGGTCATTAAAATTTAAACTAAGTTGAGAACTTCCTTGTTTGTCTTATTTGATACTGAGAGACTGCACAGCTGTGTAAAACCAAAGCTGGGCTCTGAGGTCAGAGAAATACGGATTCTCAGCCCATCTCATTGACTTCAACTAGGTATAATGCATGAGGAAAGTCTCTTAGCCTCTATATGTTTCAATATTCCTGGCTGTAAAATAACTAATACCCATTTTACATAGCTGCTTTGAAGACTGAGATAATGAATATTAGAGGACTAGTTGATACTAAGTATCAACATAACATGGCAAATTTAAAACATGTAAAATATATACTTACTAAATAAGATAGTGGAAGCTGATGTGTACTTAGAAAGGATCAAGCCATGGCACACAGCAAGATTGCATATTAAGAAGAAAAAAAAATAAGAAGTGAACATTTATTACTCAAGGACTGGATATACTAAGTAGTTTTTGTTTCTAACATTATTCATATATAATATCATGAATATGTCATTTATAAATACTGTCGTTACTTATATATTGACAGTCGTTCTATCCCAGGTCAATTAAAGCTGTCATTTTTAGGCCTTTACATTTAATAAAGCTTAGCTCAATTTTTCCTTGAATATCGCGTATAAAAATCATTTTTGCTTGCGTTTTGCAGCATTCCCTAGAGATCCAGAAATCGAGATGAGAGGTGTCCTTGTGAGTGAGAGCCCCATCACTGTAAGCTGCAAGGTTTCTAGCGTGTACCCCCTTGACCGGTTGGAGATTGAATTACTTAAGGGGGAGACTGTTCTGGAGAATAAAGAGTTTTTGGAGGATACAGATATGAAATCGCTAGAGAACAAAAGTTTGGAAGCGACCTTCATCCCTACCACTGAAGATACTGGAAAAGCTCTTGTTTGTCAGGCTAAGTTACATATGGATGAAATGGAATTTGAACCCAAACAAAGGCAGAGTACACAGACACTTTATGTCAATGGTAAGTACATATGTGAGGTATCTACAGCTTAATACCTGTCTCTTTATCGTGTTTGCCAGGCAATAGTTAACATAAGGTTAATAGTTAAAACCTCTGTAGAGAAAAAACATAACTGAAAAGAAATTTCGGAATAATAATGATTGTAACAAATCACCCTCCCTAAAGTTAAAAGAGTAACCATTTACTGGCTTATGATGCTTTGAGTTGGCAGTTTAGGAAGGGGCCAGCTAGGCAGTTATTCTGCTGGATATGGTATTAGCTGAGCTCGCTTATGCATTTTCTGTAAGGTTAGCAGGACTGGCTGGTCTCAGATGACTTCACCCACATGTCTGGAGCCATATCTGGGATGACTTGGCCTCTCTTTCTTTATGCGTTGTCACCCTGAGGAACAGTAGCCTAGATTTACTCACCAGAGCTCAGTTTTCAAGAAGGTGTAAATGAAAGTAGCCTATTCAAGGTCTGGGTTTGGAAGTCCTACAGTGTTACTTCTTCCACATTCTATTGGTCAAAGTGAGTCATGAGGCCAGCCTAGAGTTTCAAGGGGTGGAAAAATAGACCACATCTTTTCACGGAAGGAGATTCAAATAATTCATTGTCTTGTTGACTCTACCATAAATGGCAGTACACACTATCATTGACCCTTGTCATTCTTTGGTTACAAGGGAGGGTATACTGAACTTACTTCCATTAGAAAACACCATGACGTGTCCATGTTCTGCTCTATCATTTGGTATCAACTAAAGTAAATAAGGACCAAAACCTCTTGTGTTAAATTATCAAGGTTTATAAACTGTTTGAGTCTGCTGAACCCATAGCCCAGTTTTGCAACATTATTAAAACTCTTTGGAACTCAGGGCATAAGGGGTCCAGCTAACAAGCCTCTCTGCCTTTTCAGTTGCCCCCAGAGATACGACTGTCTTGGTCAGCCCTTCCTCCATCCTGGAGGAAGGCAGTTCTGTGACTATGACATGCTTGAGCCACGGCCTTCCTGCTCCGAAAATCCTATGGAGCAGGCAGCTACCTAATGGGGAGCTACAGCCTGTTTCTGAGAATGCAACTCTCACCTTAATTTCTACAAAAATGGAAGATTCTGGAGTTTATGTATGTGAAGGAATTAACCAGGCTGGAAGAAGTAGAAAAGAAGTAGAATTAATTATCCAAGGTGAGCAGAGTGTGAGTAATGAGTTATCCTTGCTAGCAATTTTTTTGGTTATGTTATTGATTATGAGTAAAGTCTTCTTTGAAAACAAAATTTTTACTACAAAAGTGTGTTGAGGGTTTTGAAGAGCTTATGATGTTTCCAATGTATGGAGAAATCTCCTGAAATTGTCCTTTCTCATGAATCGTTACAAGTTTCTTATCCTGAGATTCTTTTAAACTCAAGTGAAACGCAAGCCTTCAGGACCTGTGTCAGAAGTTCCAGTTACACTTATGAGGCAATGGTTATGGTGTTGAGATAAGAATAGGAAGAGGAATATCTTCATTTGGAATTATGTAGGATTAAAGCCACCATATCTGGCTGAATTGAACTCTGAGTGGCAATCTCACAAGATGGCCAGTAGTATTTGCTTAGAAGCCTAAGCTGGCACTTAAGTCTTTTGCAAATTCTGAGATTATTAGTAGCCGTGATTCTGTCCTCTGGTTCATCAGCCTGACAGCATGGAACCACTAAAGTAGATTAAGTCAACAGATCTAGGCCCCTTCCCTTTAGGATGGAGACCCAAGATTGAGAAAAAGACAATTTCTAGTTCGCAGGTTGAAGCCATATGGAGTTATGAGCAAAATCATCAAGTGATCAATGTGGATTTCCTCCATCCCTTCCCCTTTGGGTATGAGGGTTCTTGTCTTTGTCAGGGCTGTCATTTTCTCTCTTACACCTTGGCATTATTCCCACTAAGATATTAGTGACTTTCTTGTTATCTCAACTCAGTAAGATTTGTATTTTAGAAGAAGAATCTTGGAAAGGCAATGCACATCCTTAAAAACCAGACAACCAACCAACCAACCAAACAAACAAACAAAAAAACCTTTTGGGTAGTTGTCGTGACCTTGGAAATGGGGAAAGAATTTCAAATCAACTTACAAAATAGAAGACCTTAATAGGGATTAAAAATTGGTGATATGGTACCTGCATCCACCAGTTGTTGCATTAATAGACATGTTATATGTCAAATACTTAGCTCAGTGCCTGGAACTTAATAAATGGCAATAGTGTTGTTAAGGATAGTGAAAAAGCCGCATCTGTACAGCTTAACTTCTTGATTGAGGGATCCAACTCAAAACTCAGAAACCTGTAAAAGCCTTTGTACTTCAAGGAAATTTTTGCAAAACAGTATTACAAAAAGTTAATTTTCTATTTCACATCTGAATTCTATAACTCTTTATTAAACACTGTATTTGTCGATTTTCACACTGCTATAAAGATACTACTTGAGACTGGTAATTTATAAGAGAGGTTTAATACAGTTCCACATGGCTGGGAACACCTCACAAAATGTGCAATCACGGCAGAGGAGAAAGGGAAGCAAGGCACATCGTAGCATGGTGGCAGGCCAGAGAGAGTGAGGACCTGCCACACTTTAAAACCAAAAGTTCTCGTAAAAACTCACTCACTGTCATGAGAACAGAAAGGGGGAAACAGCCCCCATGATCCAATCACCTCTCACCAGGTTCCTCCCTCAAAACCTGGGGATTACAACTCAAGTTGAGACCTGGAAGGGGGCACAGAGTCAAACCATATCAAATACCTATTCTTTGTGCTAGGCTGGGTAAATAATTATATTAAGGGACATGAAAGAAGCATAAGCCATGTACTCTCTTAGTTAAAACATGATCATTTCCAACAATCTAGCAATGCTCGACTTCTTTACTGGCTCTTCTTAACATTTAATGCAAACACTTAGCACAAATAGCTCCATGGAAGCTGTTGTTGATGTCACTGAATTAATATGGAATTGGTTCATATTTCACTCAATCAGAGATGCCTTTTAAATTCCCTTTACAGCTATTCCAAAAGACATAAAACTTACAGCTTTTCCTTCTGAGAGTGTCAAAGAAGGAGACACTGTCATCATCTCTTGTACATGTGGAAATGTTCCAGAAACATGGATAATCCTGAAGAAAAAAGCACAGACAGGAGACACAGTACTAAAATCTATAGATGGTGCCTATACCATCCAAAAGGCCCAGTTGAAGGATGCGGGGGTATACGAATGTGAATCTAAAAACAAAGTTGGCTCACAATTAAGAAGTTTAACACTTGATGTTCAAGGTGAGTTTGTTTTGAGTTTTTGTTTTTGTTTTGTTGATAGTAGTTCAGAGGTTCCATGGATTACTAAGAGTTTCTAATATTTGATGAATGAGTTGGCAAAATGGAGCTGTGGTTTATTTCTTAATGGTTCTTGGAATAATCAAGCACAGCTGCTTTATCCTATAAAGTTTAGCCAGGAAGTTGACATTAATCATTCGTGAGTGAGGAATTCCTGCTTGCTTTTTTCAGTTTACAATGTATCATTTGTCTCTGAGGTTTTGCAGTTGCTGAATGTTTAACCATATTTCCCAACATTTTCCCTGGAGGTTATAAGGAAACGAAAGAAGTAGGATTGGCACATTGAAAAAGAAGGGTTCTATCCAGACCCTCTTCCTTTCTACCAGAAGGAAATACTATTTTCTGAACATAGAGTAACTGCAATTTTCTGGATTGACTCTTTTCAGGATAATAATTGGGAATAGTAAACTTGATCCTGAACAACATAAAAAAATCTCTAGACTATCGAAAAGCCTCATTAAAATTCAAGCCACTTGCCATCCCTCCCTATTCTGGTGAACAGAGAAAGAGAGGAGCAATATCCTCACTGGAGAAACTTCAGAGGCCCCTTAATCTCCTAAGCCCTCTTGTGAATGCACAGTAGGTAGGATCTGCTGATCTTATTGGTGAAGTAGAATACATCAGCCTTGGCTGATCAGTCTCACACCCCTTGCACACCAATTAGCTCCTATTGTGTAATGGAAGCCATACTTGGAGGTGGAGTGCAAACAGGACTGCAAACAAATGCCAAGTCTTAAGAGGTCTGGCACTTGGCTATTGGAGTGAGCAATCACTTGTCAATGCAGAGAAAATTTGAACCTATGTCAGAAACAGGTAAAGTTTTTGTTCATCTGCCCAAATTTCTCAAAATGGCAAGCCTTACCATATATATGTTTTCCACCTTCACAGTACCTCCTCAAAACATGCCAATAGCTATATAGTTATACATCCATCTAGAAATGTTAAAGAAGGGAAAAACAGCATGACTCTATGTAAAACTTCTAGTCATCCACCTGCAGTGATTATCCTGAAAAGAGTTGATCTAGCTAATGCAGTTACTATGTGTTCAAAGTAGGGAACATTTACTTTGTATCCCATCACTCCAAATGATACAGGGGTATATGCAATCAGTGCTTCCAATGAGGTTGGGGATGATTCTGGACAGATTGCAATCTCAGTTATGAGCAGGTTGAAATGTATTCATCTCTATTTTCTTTAATCCTTAATGCCTCTGGGCCACCTTTAATTAGTCCTATCCCCAGGAAATTGGTCCCCTAACATTTCTGTAATTCTTTTGTTAATTAATTGTTATCTTTTAAAGACACATCAAACGTGCTTCACTACTTTTTAACTCTCTCACACACATTGCTTTATTTTCTAATTGCTTTATCAAATTAGCCACTTATATAATTGCTCCTTTTTACTCATTATTGAAATGAACAATCAAAGAATATTAAGCACTCAGCTAGAAACTCATGCCCCCAAACTGAATATAGTTTAAAATAGGTAAATTTTGATGAAAACAAAACAAAACAAAATGGACATTTTTCTGGGTATTTTGAACTAGATTTCTTTTGTATTTGGCTGGATTTTTTATTTGTTTCCTTTTGTCTTGGCTTGAATGTATTCCATTAATAGAAATCATCAGGAGTTTTTAAAGATATTCAGTGTTTATACAACAAATAGAAAATTGTATTTGAAGGTTGCCCTGGTAACTACCTTGGCAGGAAATTTGTGTATTTCTGCCGATGCCTGCGGGGAAGACTGAAAGGCAAAAGATAATATATATTACATTGAAAAGAAAGCAATAGAAATGGAAATACTATTTCTCAGCATGTCATCAATATTGATGTCTAATCATAATCATGTTGATGGACATCCCATTCAAATATTACGCTTATATTTGACTAGCTCAGCTCTTGCAAGGGAAAGTCAAAAAGTGGGGCCATTATCATTATGCTTAGGGTGAACCGTTTTTCTTCAATAATTTGAAAAAATGACTACACAGCATCTGATGCTAGTGATTCTTTTTACTTGGTTTACCTCCAGTGACTATCTTCTTCAGATGTTCTTATAAAGTTAAGATGTTAAACGGTATAGCAGCTGTCAGATGATTTTTTAGCAGATTAGAAAGAATACTAATTTTGAAGTTTTTGCATGCTGTACCTACTGTGCTCCATGTACAACTAAATGGCAAAAGCAAAATGTAGAGAGAAAAAAATGTTATTAATGTTTAAAAAATACTTTTTTGGTGCCAACTAGGCCAAGCAGTGAGTCCGGTGATGGACCAAAAAGAAAATAGATATACATGTCTTGATGTAATGTATAGCCTAGGGGAGGAAACTAAACTTAATAAGTTATATGGATAAATAATAATTATATGGATAAACGTTTAATTAAAAGCTGTGATAAGGTTTTGAAGGAAAAATGCGTGGGTTTTGAGAATACGTTGAGGTTCTGAATTTAGAATGAGGGAGATATAGATCAGAGAATGCCTCTAAGAGACATTTAAGCTGTAACATAATGCTGTCCAAAGAACTCCAGTTTATCAAAAGATAATATAAATGCTGAAGAGGAAAAACATATTAATATGCCCTATTTCTGACATAAAAACATAGAAACTTTCATATATCTCTGAAAAAGCCATTGGCAAGATTTTTTTTTTTCTCTTACCATCTTATTTGTGGCATTTAGCTATAATGGTCACACTCTGAATGTTACAAGGATTTTCTTAGAGAACTGGTTAGTCATTTCAATTCATGGTCATCAGAGTCCCAGTTCTTTAGTAGATATTTTTATTTCCCAAAGCAAGTGCCTCTCTCCAATTTCCGTTCTTGTTAATAGAGCCCTAAAAACTTGTACCCTCCCTTCCATTTTACAACTGAGCCTGAATCTATTTGAATCCAAGTTTGTAGAAGCCAACAACTATCATCTTTAGATCCATCATGACCATAGCAACCACCAACTGATTATTTGGATAATTCAGAGAAATATGCATCTTGGGTCCTGATGGTCCTTATCACTGCTTTGATTCCCTTCTCTTTGGAGAACTAGTTGTACTGTTATAATAAAACATGTAACTGTTGTTATTAAATGCTATCTTTTTGTACTAGACATTAATTGCATCCATTTTGTTATTTTCCAGGAAGAGAAAACAACAAAGACTATTTTTCTCCTGAGCTTCTCATGCTCTATTGTGCATCCTCCTTAATAATACCCGCCGTTGGAATGATAATTTACTTTGCAAGAAAAGCCAACATGAAGGGATCATATAGTCTTGTAGAAGCACAGAAATCAAAAGTGTAGCTAATGCTTGATATGTTCAACTGGAGACACTATTTTTCTATGCAAATCCTTGAAACTGCTCATCATTCCATGAGAAAAACAATGAGCTGAGAGGCAGACTTCCCTGAATGTATTGAACTTGGAAAGAAATGCCCACCTATGCCCCTTGCTCTGAGCAAGAAGTCAAAGGAAAACTTGCTGCCTGAAAAACAGTAACTGCCATCAGGATGAGAGAACTGGAGGAGTTCCTTGATCTGTATATACAATAACATAATTTGTACATATGTAAAATAAAATTATACCATAGCAAGATTGCTTAAAATAGCAACACCCCATATTTAGATCGTTAAAATAACTAGTGTTGCTTGGACTGACTATTATAATTTAATGCATGTTAGGAAAATTTCACATTAATATTGACTGACAGCTGGCCTTTGTCATCTTTCTTCTATTTTATTCCCTTTAACAAAATTTTACTCCTATAAAGTTTATTGACAGTAATTTCAGGTTTCGTAAAGATGCCTGGTTTTTTATTTTTATAGACAAATAATAAGCAAAGAGAGCACTGGGTTGACTTTCAGGTACTAAATACCTCAACCTATGGTATAATGGTTGACTGGGTTTCTCTGTATGGTACTGGCATGGTACGAAGATGTTTCACGAAGTTGGTTCATCAGACTCCTGTGCAACTTTCCCAATGTGGTCTAAAAATGCAACTTTGTTTTTATTTTCTTTTGTAAATGTTTAGGTTTTTTTGAATAGTAAAGTGATAATTTCTGGAATTAGAACGGTTGTATGTTTATTTATTATAAACTGCCTCCTTTAGTCACATTGCAGCTCTTTCTGAAATGCCAAGTCATAAGAGTAAAATATTCAAACTATGGAAATAATACAGATACTCAAAATGTGACCCTCAGACTACTTTTATTAAAATTACTGTAGGAACTTGATAAAAATTTAAATTTCTTGGTGCCAGACTAAGATATTGAATAGAAATGTCTGGTTTTTGGTCCTTGGAATCTGCAATTTTTTAATTTAGAAAAATATACACAAAAAGATGTAATGCAGATGAACATGCACATGTTAATGGACAACAAATGAACACCCGTGTACAGAACATTAAGAACAAGAGATAGTATAACTATTCTTCAGAGCCTTTTATATACCACATAGTGATGGCAATACTCTTCTCTCACTGAGCAGTAACACATAAATACCCTGAATTGATCATTTCCATGCTTCCTTTGGAGGTTTTATACCTGTCTATGTATCCCTAAGTAGTGCATTACTTAGTTTTGCCAGATTTTGCATTTATATAAATACAATCCAATTATACATTTGCCTTGTAACTATTCTTTCACTCAAAGTTATGTTTTTCATAATACATTTATGTTGTTGTGTAGTTATAGGTCATTCATTTTTCTCCACTTGGAATGGATTTTTTTAAACTTTTAAGTTAAGGGGTACAAGTTTAATTTGTTACATGGGTAAACTTGTGTCCTGGGAGTCTACTGTACGGATTATTTTGTTAGCCAAGTATTAAGCCTAGTCTCCATTGGTTGATTTTCTTGATCCTCTCCCACTTCTCACCCTCCTCCCTCCAAAAGGCTCCATTGTGTGTGTTCCCCTGTATGTGTCCATGTATTCTCATCATTTAGCTCCCACTTATGGGTGAGAACATGTGGCATTTGGTTTTCTGTGTTAGTTTGCTAAGGATAATGGCCTCCAGCTTCATCCATGTCTCTGCAAAGAACATGATCTCGTTCTTTTTTATGGCTGTATAGTTGGAATGGATTATTTACAGAACGCAGGGTGGGCATACAATTTCATCATTTTTAGATGATGAAATAATTGTCCCTATACCATTTATTGAAAAGCCCATTATATATATGAAGAATATATATTTATATTCATAAATTAATATATATATCTTTTTACAAATGTCTCTTGATCATTCTAGTTTTTGAACTTCCATACAAATATTAAAGTCAGTTTATTAAGATATAGAACAAAAAATTAAGATTTTAACTCAAATTATATTGAACATATAGATCACTTTGAATAGAATTGATATTTTTAAAGCATTGAGTTTTCTAATCCATGAACAGAGTATAGTTATTATTTTTAGATTATCTTTAATAAACAGAAATGTTTTTTTATTTCATAAATGCCTTATTCCTTTAAAAAATTATTTCTAGGGAGTTTGTATTTTTATACTATTATTCATAGTATCTTTAAAATTATATTTATTTGAAGTATAACTTTCATACAATAAAACTCATTACTACCACAATCAAGAAATACAACTTTTTTTTTTTTAATCACTTTAAGATTTTCATCAGGCTCCATTGCAGTGAATCTCCCCATCCACCACCTCCTCTGGCCCTTGGCAAAAATCAATCTGTTTTCTGTCACTATACTCTTGCCTATTCTAGAATTTTATATAAATGAGATTATACAGTATATAGTCTTTTATGTCTGTCTTCCTTCACTTAGCTTGACTCTCCTGAGGTTTATTTATGTCATTATGTATATCAAGGGTTTGTTATCTTTATTGTTAGAGCATACCACTGAATGCTTATGGTAAAGCTTATTTACCTAGTCATCAGCAGACAATTAGGTTGTTTATGATTTTTGGCTATTGTTAATAAATCTGGTATAAGTATTTAAATACAGATACTTCTGAGGATATGTGAATATATATATATGGAGAGAGGGAGAGAAAGAGAGAAAGAGAGAGACGTAGGATTTGGTCCATTACTCCACATCTACATAAACACTTGGCATTTGTATTTTAAATTTTTGCCGTTCTAGTGTTGAGTCATGGTATCTTACTGTAGTTTTAATTTCCCAATAACTAATTAGATTGAGTATCTTTTCATGTATTTATCATTTTTATGTATCTTATTTTGGGGAAGTATCTATTAAAAACCATCACCCAAATTTTTATCAGGTTGTTTGTCTTCTTATTGAATTCTAAGAATTCTTTTATATATTCTGAATAGAAATTCTTTATCAAATATACATTTAGCAAATGTTTTATTTCAGTAATTGCAGTGCCTTGCATTTTCATTTTGTTTTTAACCATGACTTTTCCTATCCCAAGGCAACAAAGATTTTCTCATTCATTTTTTTCTAGAAGCATCATACTCTTAGTTTTACATTTATATCTATGACCCAATCCAAATTAATTTTGTGTATGATGTGAGGCCATGGTGAAAGCTCATGTTTGCATATATATATTCAACCATTATAGCACAATTTGTTGAAAGGACTTTTTCTCTCACTGAATTACCTTGACATTTTTGCAAAGAATCGATTGGCCATATTTGTGTGGGGCTATTTTTTTTTTTTCTTTTTGAGATGGAATCGAGTCTTGCTCTGTCACCAGGCCGGAGTGCAGTGGCATGATCTTGGCTCACTGAAACCTCCGCCTCCTGGGTTCAAGCAATTCTCCTGCCTCAGCCTCCTGAGTAGCTGGGACTACAGGCACATGTGTGGGGCTATTCTGAACTTTCTTTTGTGTTCCATAGATTGATATGTATCTTCATAAACAATATGACACTGTCATGATTACCATAGCATTATTATAAGCCTCGAAATCAGATAGTGTGAGATCTCCAATTTAAAATTTCTTCAAATAGTTTTGGCTAGATTAGATCCTTTGCCTTTCCATATGAATTTTAGAATCCGCTTGTCAATTTCTGTAAAAAACCCTGCAAGTATTTTGATTAGGATTCATTTAATCTATACATTAATTTGGGAAGAATTATCATCTGAATAATATTGAGTTTTCCAACACATATATGTATAATTTTCAGTGTGCGAGTCTTATACATTCTTGGTGAAATTTATCTTTAAGTATATCATGGTTTTTGATGTGGTTATAAATGATATTGGTTTTTAAATTTCAATTTCCAGGTGTTTGTTCCTAATATATGAATATACAATCAATTTTACATACTGACTGGGTATTCTTCAATCTTGCTAAACTCCCTACTCCAGTTCTAGTAGGTTTTTTTGTAGATTCCTTAAGATTTTCTACATAGATGATCATATCTTCTGAGAATACAGATAGTTTTACTTCTTTCTTTTCAACTTATACTCTGTTACCTTTATTTATTGCACTGGCTAGAACTTCCAGTAATATGTTGAATAAAAGTAGATAAAACAGATATTCATGCTTTAGTCCTAACCTTAGGAAAAAAGGCATTAGGTCATTTACATGTATTATGTAAATGTTATGACGTAAAATGTATTTTAACTATGACGTTAACTGTGAATTATCTTAGATACAATATCAGGTTGAAAATTTCCTTCTATTCTTTGTCGTTGAGAGATTTTATCATAAATAGATACTGAATTTTGTCAGGTACTTTTTATACATCTATTGCGATGATCATGTGGTTTTTGTTGTTTCTTTTTGTGCCTGTTAATATAGAAAATGGCATTAACTGTTAAATATTAAATGAACTTTTTTTCATTACTGAGGTTAGCTCATTTGCTCATGGTGTACTACTCATTTTATACATTGCTGGATTGAATTTGTTAAAATTTTATTAAGAATTATTGGGCCTGTGTTAATGAAGAAAACTGATCTGCAGTTTTCTTTTCTTGTAATTTCTTTTGTCTTGTTTTGGTATAAGTAATGCTAGCCTCATAGAATGAGTTGGAAAATAGTTTCTCCTATTTCATTTTTAGGGAGAATTTCTGTAAAATTGGCCTTATTGCTTCTTTAAACATTTTATAGGATTCACTGGTGAAGCCATCTGGGCTGGGAGTATTCTTCCTGGGAAAGATTTTAGCTATAAATTCAATGATTTGGCCGGGCACAGTGGCTCACACCTGTAATCTCAGCACTTTGGGAGGCCAAGGCAAGTGGATCACGAGGTTAAGAGACTGAGACCATCCTGGCTAACCCGGTGAAACCCCGTCTCTACTGAAAAACTTAGCCGGGCGAGGTGGCGGGCGCCTGTAGTCCCAGCTACTCTGGAGGCTGAGGCAGGAGCATGGTGTGAACCCAGGAGGCGGAGCTTGCAGTGAGCCGAGATCACGCCACTGCACTCCAGCCTGGGCAACAGAGCAAGACTCCGTCTCAAAAAAAGAAAAAAAAAAAAGAAAAAAAAAAAACCACCATTTAAAAAAAAATTGACCACTGACTATTTCAGCTTCCTATTCTTGTTGAGCAGGTTGTAGTAGCTGGTGTCTTTCAGGAAATTTATCCATCTTATTTCAGTTGGGTTTACTGCCATTAAATTGTTTATGACATAAAACATTATTATGCCTTTAATAACTGAAAAATCTTTACAAAGCATTTTGATCTAAACGAAAGGGGGAACACATCCCATTAAAAATCTGTGCTATACAGCTAAAGCAATGCTTAGAGAGTAATATATAGCACTAAATGTCTACATTGTAAATACGGTCTCAAATCAATGATCTATAGTTCTTCATAGGAAACTAGAGAAAGGAGATAAAATAAAACTCAAAGTAATCATGGCAAAGGAAAATTTAAAGATAAGATTAAAAATAACAAACAGGCAAGCAGTAGTGATTCAATAAAACCCCAAACTGGTTCTTCGAGAAAAATAGTAAAATTCATAAACCTCTAGCCAGACTGATATTAGGAATGAGAGAGGACATATCACTCCAGATCCTACAGGCATTTGAAGGAAAATAAGAAAATTATAAACAAGTTTATGCCAATAAATTTGACAACAATGGACAGATTCCTTGAAAGAAACAAATTACCAAAGCTCACTGAAATGGAATAGACAATGTGAATAGC